CAGTTCAATGAGTCCAGGTGGTTGAGTATCAGAGTGTTCCATCTCATTTCCCTTTGGGGTTGCTGTAGGTGATGTGGAAGTCTGGTTTTGAGAATTATTTACGTGTCTTCTCATTTCGACCTGGGGGGTGGTGCTGTTGGTGCCTGCAAGGCTCACCTCCTCTGAGCTGGGAGAGGTGGGAGGGATGGTGGCCTGGTGGCCCAGAAGTCCCTTCCTCTGGGCAGGGAGTGGTGCAACAGATGGCAACCCAAAGTCCTTTCCTCTGGTCTGGGAGTGGTGGGACAGATTGTGGCCAGGAAGCCCCTTCCTCTGGACCAGGAGGAGTGGGAGGGCAGCTCAGAAGTCCCTACCTCTGGGCCGGGAGCAGCAGGATGGACAGCAGCCCAAAAGCCCTTTCCTCTGGGCCGGGAGTGGCAGGAGGGATGGTGGCTGGGAAGCCCCTTCCCCCTAGTTTATAAATTTAACTCTCTCAGAGGTATGTGTGCATGTCCTCAGGTTCTGTATCTGCAGATTCAACCAACCCCAGATTGTAAATATATGGAGGAAAAAAGCATCTGTACTGAACATGTACACACTTTTTTCTTGTCATTAACCCCCAAACAATAAAGTATAACAGCTATTCAGATGTCATTCACATTGCATTAGGTATAATCTCGGGTGACTAAAGGATATGGGTAGATATGCCTAGGTTATATGTAAATATTACACCATTTTATAACAAGGAACTTGAGCAGCCTCAAATTTTTGTACCCACAGAGGTCCTAGGACCAGTCTTCCCCATGGACAGAGCAACTGTAGCTCTGGGGTTCAGTACTACCTACAGTCCCAGGGATCCAGGGGAGGTCTCAGAGCACATCTGCCATGGACCGGATGGGGCTGTTGAGTAAAGGAAAGGAAGGAGTGTCACTGCAGCCCAGCAATTCAGAGTTAGACACTGTGCTTCTCTGTTTTCAAGGAAATCCCTTCCAGTCCAACTTTCCTCCCTCACCTGGTCTCTTCTCGCATCCCTGCCCCCCACAATGTGTGTTTATGTCCATCCTCTCCTCTCCTCTCCCAGGCAAAGGAAACTTGTCATTTTTTTCCCTTATCAGCGATGTTATCCTGGAAAGTGGGCATTCCCTTTCATATCCATAAACTACAAATATTTATCTGATCAAAATACTGCCGCTCCCCTGTCCCTTGGCTCTGGTACCCCAGGATTCACACACATCCATGCTCATTCCTAGGAGATGGCAGAGGCCACATCTGCCCACCTCCCAATGAAGGACTGAATGGGACCTGGGAAGCCATCTCCTTTCCACCTCTCCATTAATATCCATCCTTTTCCTTCCCCCCAGATCGCCCAGGGCTTGCCTGTGTTGAGAGAATAGAGAAATACCAAGATAGTTTCCTGCTGGCTTTTGAACACTATATCAATTACCGAAAACATCACGTGACACACTTTTGGCCAAAACTCCTGATGAAGGTGACAGATCTGAGGATGATTGGAGCCTGCCATGCCAGCCGCTTCCTGCACATGAAGGTGGAATGCCCCACAGAACTCTTCCCCCCTTTGTTCTTGGAAGTGTTCGAGGATTAGACTGACTGGATTCATTCTCATAATTCCTACAGCACTACTGGGTGTCATTTCATTCCATTGCCTAGCTCTTTTGTGTTTGTTTCTTTGTCTCTTTGTGTTGGGAGGGCTCGTTTGGGGGTAAAGGGAGGTATCCTTTGCAGAAATGGATGAAATTGCCCCTTTGCGGGTACTCATAACTATTGCATTTTGTTCTCCAGTCCTTTGATGTGAATGCTTTGAAGGGTTTTATAGTTGTGGAGGTGGGGTGAGGGACAATCATTACTTCACCAGCATCAAGCCATCACCAGCTCCCACCTGTCCCTGGTCAAGACTTGAGCAAGCCAGATGGCACACAAAAGACTAAGGAAGCCTTAAAGCCAAGATAATACAGTCATCTTGATCAATCTGATTTGTTCAGGGCTCAAGTTAGCAGAGCACAGACCACCTTTGGCTAGATGTAGTTTTCGGCTTTTGGGGAAAGAGTCAAACAAATTTTCATCTAGTCATCTGTTTTTACCCCTCATTCTCTCCTAGCAGGTTTACTTGGAATGTGTAGGAATATTCATGCCCTAACAAATCAGCTATCCATTCAGTATCATTTTGTGACCTTCTGATTTAATTCTAGTTATACAAGGGCATGACTCAGAGATGTGTAGGTATCTGACTGATTGAGGCTACAAGGAAAATAATTTTCTTGAGTCAGCCCAAAGAAATTAGATTCACCAATGTTAGTGACTCTGCAGTTTCCAAAAATTCATAAAGTATTACCTCGGGGTAAAAAGGCTTCTTTACAGTTTTGGCTCACAGAAATATTCCCACCAAAATCAAACCTATTTACAGGGTGTCATCACTTTTCAATGGCATCTGATCTGTCATCTCCAAGCTCCTGAAGTTATTTCTCCTGACTGCATCTTTGCTGAGCTGACAACAGATTTCCCTATGGATCATATCTTCTAATCAAGGAGAGAGAAACAAGCTGAAATTTGAGTCTTATTGGGAGGAACTGTGAGGCAAGATTAGTGTGATTTTATTCTGAGTTGAAACACAGCATTTGTGTACTGATTGCCTGAGGATGCTTCCTTCTGGCCTTAGGTCCTCAAGCTCTTTGCTTTATTTACACATTTTTTTCTGGTTCCCCTTTCCCTCTGACTCTGAGACACTACATAGCTCGACTCTCTCTAAACACCACCAATCCCACTGCTGATTTTCCTGTCCCTTCTCCAGATCTACCCTGACAGACACTCAGCAGAAAACTCCTGCACATTAGGGAAAACTCCTTCCTCCACGTTAGGAAACACTTTCTTGCCTTCGCTGCCCAACCTGCCATCCTACCACCCTACCAACCAAGATGGAGTAACTGTCCCGGAAAACCAGTGATGACACCTCAGCACTTCAGTATCAGAAAATGGGCAAGGAATGTGCCCATGCAATTGAATGTACCTCATTCCTCACTGGCATAGTAGATATAAACTATTCTTCTGCCTGCCTTTTACTGCCTTATTCTTGAAATACTGGGGAAAATAAGCCATATCACTGAGATTACCTAAAAACAAAAGAATGAAAGTCACTGTGAAAACCAAGTTGACTAATTTCATTTTAGGTTTGTGGAGCATAATTGGCCTAGAAGTCAGGGCACCTCAGTTCCAGTGTGTACTCTGTTGGCTGGTAGATTCAGGAGCTTGGGTCTTGGTTTTTTTATCTGATGAGCAAATCAAGATCTCCAAAATCCTTCTCACCCTCAACATCGTGTGAATTGGGGGGAAGGGTGGGTTCTTGGGTTGGTTTCTTTCCTATACAAATTCCTAGCTTTATTACAAAAAAATATAGCCCATGAGCAGTTAAGGAATGTATACTTGATACTGATTCAAAATAAGAATTCTATACAATACTAGTAAACTATTTAGAGAAAGCAGTGTGCCCTTGGGAAAAGGAAGGGAATAGCACTGAAAATACCAAAAATTATTGACAATAATTGAGGTGGGGGGTGATGTTCTAAAGCAATTTTACTGGCTTCTAGGGAAAGGAAACAATATTGCTATGGAACATGTTAATGAGAGGAAGTGGGCAAAGAGTACAAAAGTATAACCATGAAATTTCCTAAGCATCTCACCTGCATGGCACTGTCTACAGACAGCTGTTCTGGATTTTGTCCTTTCCACACAGCGTCCAGCCAGTCCCCTTCCTTGCTGTTAGTACCTTAGCCTCTCTGCTAACTCACCTCAGTGAGCACTCCCTGAAAGAGGAACACTTAGCCATCTCTAGCTCAAGGGGATTTGAGGAGTTTGCCATGTGGGGCAAGTTTTCTTCCTAAAGGAATGAGAGGAAGGCAAGCAGGTTAGGTGCTGGACAGGCCCACAGTTGCTGGGGTGTCCGGCTCTCCAGGCAAAGTGTCCTCAATTTGTGTGATGGATTCCCCAGGACAAGAGTCACCCAGACTCCAGTGTCAGTGCAGAGCCTGCCCTCAAGCTCAGAATGCTTTGGGGGATTGACCACAACTGGGCATTGGCCACATGGTAACCAATCTATGGCCATCAGGCCCTCCCCAGGCAAAAGAATGTTTGGTCCTCAGCTCCTTAAATGATTGCCTTACACAGGCAAAGCACTGCTGCAGAAGTCTGTTGAAGGCTGAACACCTTACGCTGATAGAACTCAGCTTCTGATTCAAAAGAAAAGCTTTAAGGACTCAGAGGTTCGTGCCCCTGATGATAACAGCAACTAACCTCATTCTGTATGAAACTGACGGGGTGCTTAGTTATCTCAAGACTCCATCTCATAGAGCTTGATTGTGAGGGATTTGCTCCTGATTTTCTTTTTACATTGTCCAGACATCTAAATCGAGTGTGGACCTGATAGAAACAGTTTTCACACCTGCCCTACCCATGGGAAGACACTGCAGTGGAGGAGAACACACCCACACTGCTGGGTTCTTATTTATAACTCTCTCCCCCTTAGGGACTGGAAGGGGTGGACACACACCATGCACTCTTACATACCTATCTGTGTGTACTTTGCTCTTCGGCTTAGACGTGCAGTTCTTCCAGAAACAGTGAAAACAGTAAGAGATTTCTCTCTTTGAGTCTGCCCAAAACACCACGTACTGCCTCTGATCCTCTTCCAGTCCAGTGAGCCTCAGTCCTCAGTGACACTTGACGTGTTAATGCTCAGCCCAGCGACGCCCTCACTTGTGCCCGGATGGACACCACCTGAGCCTGCAGTGCAAGCATCGGGAGGAATGCCAGACCAGCTCTGCTCCAGCCACACCGTTCTCCATCCTCGTTGCTCCTTGCAGACAGGTGTACAAGCCTTGGTCCCCCAACACTAAGTCCTCCCACCCCGACTCAGCCTCTTTGGAACTGCTGAGCACCCTCAGAGCATGTCCTTGTCAGTGATACATTTTTACTCTACGGAACTCTGACCCATCCGTGTCATATTGACCTTTTGCTGCATGAGTCCTAAATTATGAAGTCGGTCATGGTTTTTGAGATGTAGCCAGCGTTTGTAAGGCTAAACCTTTTTCATGAACTTTTTAAGTGACTAACCAAGCCACAGTCCTCCTCAAAAGGAGAGTAACGACAGACATTTAAATCCCTGTGCCCTCTCCAATGGCCATGGCATCAGGTTCTAAAATAAGCTCGTAATTTTTCCTGTTATTTTAATAATATGGAAATATTAGCATAGTGTTTCTTTTGATAGTGATAGACTGTAATCCATATTTAAATTTTATAGAGAAATTTTATTGTACTGTGATGTAGATATTTATTATCCAGGTAAGGATTTGCCCAGTGTGTATTTTTTACAGTTGAAACATTTTACTTTAATCTTTAAAAAAAAAAATGCATTAAAACACACACACACAAAAAAAACAGACTAGGGAGAAAAAAAGGTTTGGCCTTATCACAGAATTTTTACTGTGCTGTATAAATGTTTGCAAATGCAAAAAGTGTGCATTTCTAGTGTGTTTCACATTACTTAATGCTGCCTTCAAGAGCAATATCATGCAGTTAGTAAAACGCTGTTTGTGGCTTTCTGTTGCACAGTTAAAGCTGACCCACCTTATGCACAAGACAATCAAATATCAGTCTGTCCTCAGGATGCAGATAATCCTCGTGTAAATTATGGAGCACAATGTGAGACAGAAGAAATTTTACACATGCATTGATATGGATGATCAGGGCCTGAATTAGCTGACATGACTTCGTACCATTTCTTTCAGTTCTTCCTTATGGACTTGGCATCTTTAATTTGCTGAGAGCCAAATTAGTTCTCCATGCTTTCCACAGAGAAAACACTTCTCTTTCTTTTTATACTATTTTCATGCCCTGAATATCAGAAAAATGCTACAGGATAGAAGATTTACAGTCATTGGAAGATTTATGTTTTGCAAACAGTGTTAAGTGATATTGCTAGATTGGTAATATTTTTTTTCAGCCTAAAACTCTGTTGAAATCTGTGATCAAAATGTTTTAAACTATCCAAAAAGAAAATTTGTATATTTGGGAAAAATGAATTTTTACATAGCTTTTGTATGCAGATATCAAATTGTAATTATGAATATAGTGGGCATAGATAACTCATAAGCTTAAATTCTAAAAAAGAGGAAAAAAAGAAAAAGCTTATAAAGGATATTTTTTCTGTCTCTTTCTTTAAATATTATTACTTTCTAAATAGCACAGAGTTGCCTGCTCTTGTTGCCTCTGCTGTTGCAGGGTGAGGTCAGGTGACAGGGACATTTTGTTTCATAATGAGCACACTGACGTGGGAGAGGAGGAGACAAGGGTCACCTCTTTGGAAGGGGCTACAGGGATGGAAGAAGAAAGAGAGATTTTTGCAACCCAAGGAACACAGTCATTTTCTTATCTCAAAATGTTCCATAACGTTACTGATGGAATTATACTGACAGCAGCTACCAAAATTTATCACAATCCCCACTACCATCAACACATGTTGATGGACTCTTTCTGTGACAAGTGACAGGTGACAAGGGACAAAAGCTAAGCCAAACTGGCTCAAGCATAAAGGGAGTTTTGCTTTCAAAACCTGGAAAATCTGAGGCTATGACACCTCATGCATGGCTGGGTCTGGGTGCTCAGTGTTGCCAAAAAGCCATGGGTCTGACTTTTACTTCACAAAGACGTCATGTTCCATTACCTTTCACCTTCCAGTGGCCACCAGTAGCTCCAGGATTAGCATTACAGTTCCAAATATAATGGAAAGATAGTTTCTTTCCCCCTAAAATGTCCAATGAAAATCCTGGGACCAATTCCCATGGTGTACCCAAATTGAGTCATGGCCCATTCCTGCATCAAAAACTGGAGTGAGGAGAACTGATATGCTAATGAGCTAACTCCTGGAACTGGGCGACTGGAAGGATGGATAATCAGCCCCATCTAAAATATAAACAGAGTTGAAACAGGAATGATTCCTCAAAGGAAATTCTAAGTCCTGCTGCTCTAGTAAGTGGGTAATAATGGTAGGCAAGCAAAAGCAAAACAAAGCCACACCAAAAATTAGTCTGAAAGCACACCCATGTTCAGCACAGCTGTGGAGTTAACCTTAACAAAGGAAGCTCGGTATGGTTTGGCTAGGACATGAACCAAATCAACACTTTCCAAAAGTCCTTGATAACTTTCCCCTTGACTCATGAAAAAAGTCAGTCCAGGTAAGATGGAGCAAGCTTTTCTCATTTCCCTAGACTAGATCAGTACAGACAACTATTTTCTCTATTTTCTGAGTTCTTCCATTCTCTGTTCAGAATGCTTTTTAATCTTTTTTTAATATTATGTACCTCCCAATAAGTGGAATTGTCATTAGTTTCATCAACATCCACAAGTTCTGTTGTTCAATGCAAAGAAAAATATTATAACTACTGAAAATATAGGGTGCTACAGATCTCAAGAGAATCCACAGGCTACTTGATAAAACTGTACTGTGTTATACTCTTTTAAAGACAGAGTTCACTAACATCAGACACTAATGAACTCATAAATGAAGTGTGAATGAACTCATAAAAATGATACAGACTGGAAGTTATGTGAAAATGAGAAGAGAGCTGTCTTAGGCTGGGTTCCCCTAAAGCAGAGCCCCAACGAAGCAGGAGTAGAGGCAAAAGGCAATGAGGCATAGAAGGAAAGAGAGCAAACATCGGATGCATTGCTGAGTTGCCACACTTAGTACCAGGCATAACTGAATACTCAATTGTGCAAGGCCCTCTCTCAAGGGGCCATATCAACTCTTGCTTCTCAGCATAGTCAACCCCATTATCAAAACAGAGACTTCTCCATTTCTAGAGTGTACATACTTGGCCACAGATCAGGTCTCGGAGTGGCTCAGGATTCAGAAGCAAAAGCAATCTCCCCATCTGAAGGAAGCTGGTTCCCACTCTGAATGGGTGGCAGACCAAATGACAAGCAGGGGGAAGCCAGCAGCCCTCAGGCCGAACAAGGTAAATGGAACTTCAGAAATCTACAGTGATCTGATGCAAGGTTCCTCAGACCAACAAGTTCTTCCCATTACCTGGAGAAAGGGCCTGTGCTCTTAAGTGCCAAAGAGAATCACACGGCTCAGCAACAACCCTATACTCATGGACTGGTCTGTCTGTGTAGGGGCTTTGAATGCAAGCTGATCGTGTGAGTTGGTTACATTTTCTTGTAGTAGCTCTGAAACACTGAATGCGTATAAACTAATTTAATTATACATTGTTAGTTTTTCTTATAGGTAGCTCATTTCATGGGCAAAATTTTTCTGGGTAAATATATACAGTAATGAAATTTTTGTAAAAGCCACTGGACATTTTTTTTTTGTTTTTCCATACAAAACTTCATCTGGTCCAAAGATTTTTAGTATAGAAAGTGACATAAGGTATCTTTTAGGACAGACTGATAACATCCTCTTTATTTTAACTTTCTTTTACACAACACCAAAGGCAGTAAAGGAGGCAGATGCATACAGAAAAATATCTCCTCAAAATTAACAAATCAGAAAACTCCTGTGCCCATAAATAAATGCAGAGATATGAATAAGCACTCTTCAGTTTTACCCTGAGTGCTAAAAAGATGCCACAGTCCTTATTCGTAGCAGATATAAAAGTACATGTTCATTCTAACTTTTCTAATGGGCATTTTTAGCTCTGAAGAACTTTTTTAGGATTTCTTTTTACTACCTAAAATCAAAGGCAGACAGAACTTTTGTGAAAATGAACTATATTAAAAGACAAAGAATATGAGATCACCGAAGACCACTTATTGGTAAGTGAACTGCCGTATGAGAATCCAGCTGAACATTTTAGAATATTCGTCTCCATTTCCCCCCAGTACTTTGATGAAAAAGAGAACCCCACACATCAGTTACTGAAGAGTCCCAGCAGCCTGCCTGCCGAGGACCTGCTGGGTGTCTGCTGACTCGCAGGGTTCCTCACCACTGTGTAGGAGTAAGCAAAAATGGCCCATCATGTAGTGAACACATACTCGATGCCAGGAATCATGCTAGACTCTTTCAATTACCAGTACTTCTCCAAGCAAACTAGAAAAGTGTTAGAATTTTTATGCATATTTGACAATAGGGCAATAGAGGCACAGTGTAAGTATGCAGCTTCTCTAGGATCCTAGAGCTGACAAGTATCAGTCCATGGGGTTTCAAGACCTGTGACCATGTTCTTTCTAAAATCTGCACTAGTAAGATTCAGGTAAAGCCTTATCCCCTGAAAAAAAAATGGCAACCCTGCTTTGAAAATGTTTGTCACTGTCTTTTTTTTTTTTTGTACCAAGGATCAAACTCAGGACCTTGCACCTGTGAGGCAGGCATGGTGTCACTGAGCTAAATCCCCAGCCCTGCCACTATCCTTCTGAAAAGGCCTATCTCCCCTAATGCAAAAAACACATACTTTAGTCTAAAGATAAACTACCTCTCCTTTCATTAGGTTGTTTCTCATTGCAAGACCACTAACTGGTGTTGCAATATAAAGAGTAATGTCTCTTTGCAGGGTATATTTATAATCTAGCTGGCTGCGAGATGCATCACTCTAACAAGGAGGCGCTGGGAGTTTTTGTTTTTGTTTTTGTTTTTGTTTTTGGCCAAGCAGTTGGGAGCTATCAAGTTTGGGCAGAGCCAAGTTGCTTGGTCTGATAGGAGAAGGATTTACAGCAGTGGAGTTTGGGAGGAAGAAGATGGGCAGATAAGCAAACAAGACGACAGAAGCCCTTACGTTTCAAGGCATGCTGTAATATTCTCAACTTTAGATACTCAAATTATTGGCAAATGTATGATCCATATGAATTTTTTGTAAGAGTAAATGAAAAGGGATATTCAATACCATGTTGACATGGGACAAGAGGGCCCAAGCAAAGAGGATCTTAATAATAAATATCTGACAAGTCACAGGATTCTGGGGATTGCTTTGTCTGGTTTCAAAGAAGTAGGAGAAAAGTTTTCAAAGCAGTTCACCAGAAAGGAAGGCTTCACTGACATCTGATGGATATATTGACTTAATACTGCACATAGACCTAGGGATAAGTTGGCAAATTAAAGGTCCTCATGGAATTTTCCACAGGAAAGTAATAAAGAGCCTCTCTTACCAACCTTTACTCTAATTTGCAGCAAAAAGAAGATAGCAAAAGTCCTAAACAAAATAGCAAACCAAACCCAGATAAGAGAGAAATGTTTATGATTAGACACTTGCAGTGTCTGGAAAGTCACAAGTTTAATATCAGGGATTTACAGTAAGTATTGAAATCACTAAGAAAAAGACATAAGACATCATGGCAGAATAGAATATTTACTGAAAGAGAAGCCCAATGGCCAACAAGAATATGAAGAGATTCTCCACCTCATAAGTAATCAGAAATATAAAAATCGACACGACTGAATCCACAAACTAGGCAGATAGAAAATACCAAAAATACATAGCAAGAATGTAAGATGAGGACTTAGTGAGAATGTAAAGTGCTTCAGCCTCTTTCCTACACTGCACTCTTACCAGGATTCCTGTTCTGGAAGCAAACCTCCAACTCTCTGACCTACAGGCAGAGGCCTCCTAGCACCACAGATTCTATCAGATCAGGGAGTTGAGTTCAGACTAAGGAAGAAGTGAATACCCGCTAGGGAAGAGGGGAAAATGCTGGGCAGATGGTTACCTCCATGGAAATCTCCACATGATCAAAAGCACTGAAAGACACCTGTACACTGCAACTTGTAAGAAACAAAATAAGACTTACAAAACAATACTATTTATGTAAACTACACAAATACAAAAGAAATCATACATAACCAAGGACACATATCAAGCATATTAGACTGGGTACCTATGTAGAAGAGATAAAGAAAACAAAAGAGCATGACAGGCTAGCAACTTTTGCCACAATAAAATGAGGAGATTAATTATCAATTTGTCCTGTCTTCCTTCCAAAAAGCTCAGCCAGGATTAATTAATGGAAACTACTGTGAAGTCCATATCAGCTCAGAAGAAGGAAGCAGTATGTCACAGCTACTGTCTACCTGTGGAAATGGAGAATTCCCCATCCCTCAGTGTGTTCAAGCAAAGACTAAGCTCTCACCTGACAATGAAATTGTTAGAAGGCCAAGATCTCCAAAGAAATGACCTCTCAGATCTGCTCCAGCCCCAGGTCACATC